GTCTCTGAGTCACATGGTCCCTCGGTCACATGGTCTCTCGGTCACATGGTCTGAGTTTGCAGATAAATATGTCAGAAAAGACATCATTAGCACTGAGCAGAAACAGCACAACACAGTTTCAATCTGGACAGACACAAGACACAAGATGTATTCAAAGGTTTATGATTGTATTGTGAGCAATGGAATCCTGAGGAGGAGGCGGGGAGGAGGTGGAGTTGGAGGCAGAAATGGGGAGGAGGCAGAGGTGGTGAGGAGGTGGAGGCAGAGGCGGGGAGGAGGTGGAGTTGGAGGCAGAAATGGGGAGGAGGCAGAGGTGGTGAGGAGGTGGAGGCAGAGGTGGGTGGAGCAGAAGTGGGAAGGAGGTGGTTTGACTGACAGCTGGCAGAGAGTTGACGAAGCCTATGAAAGCTGAGGGAGGGGGCGGAGCCTAGTGCGATGACTTGCGTAGTCTACCAGTCTGAAGTTACGCTTAAGCTGCGTTAGTAAATTATAAATGAGAGGTTTTGGCCACAACATACAACACACACATCACACACAACATACACAACACACACAACATACACAACATACACAACATACACAACACACACAACACACACAACATACACAACATACACAACATACACAACATACACAACACACACAACACACACAACATACACAACATACACAACACACACAACACACACAACAACACACAGCATACACAACACACACAACACACAACATACACAACCAACACAACACACACAACATACACAACACACACAACACACACAACACACACAACATACACAACATACACAACACACAACATACACAACACACACAACAACACACAGCATACACAACACACAACATACACAACCAACACAACACACACAACATACACAACACACACAACACACACAACATACACAACACACACAACATACACAACATACACAACACACACAACATACACAACACACACAACATACACAACATACACAACACACACAACATACACAACACACAACATACACAGCAACACACACAGCATACACAACACACACAACACACACAACATACACAACACACACAACACACACAACATACACAACACACACAACAACACACACAACATACACAACATACACAGCATACACAACATACACAGCATACACAGCATACACAACATACACAACACACACAACACACACAACACACACAACACACACAACATACACAACACACACAACACACACAACATACACAACATACACAGCATACACAGCATACACAACATACACAGCATACACAACATACACAACACACACAGCATACACAACATACACAACACACACAGCATACACAACATACACAACATACACAACACACACAGCATACACAACATACACAACATACACAACACACACAGCATACACAACACACACAGCATACACAACACACACAACACACACAACATACACAACATACACAGCATACACAACATACACAACACACACAGCATACACAACATACACAACACACACAGCAACACACACAGCATACACAACACACACAACACACACAGCATACACAACACACACAACATACACAACACACACAACACACACAGCATACACAACATACACAACATACACAACACACACAGCATACACAACACACACAGCATACACAACACACACAGCATACACAACACACACAGCATACACAACACACACAACATACACAACATACACAGCATACACAACCAACACAACACACACAGCATACACAACATACACAACACACACAGCATACACAACCAACACAACACACACACAGATCTCAGCCTCTGTTTATTAAGTCCCAGCTCCTTTTCAGGTTTGATATTCTCCGCTGCTGCAGTTTTCCTGTTGGGGTCGAATCCCCAAAGCTTAATGAACACTTTAGGATCAAATGTAATAAATATACAGTGCCTTGCGAAAGTATTTGGCCCCCTTGAACCTTTCAACATTTCGCCACATTTCAGGCTTCAAACATAAAGATTTAAAATTTAATTTTTTTGTCATGAATCAACAACAAGTGGGACACAATCGTGAAGTGGAACGAAATTTATTGGATAATTTAAACTTTTTTAACAAATAAAAAACTGAAAAGTGGGGCGTGCAATATTATTCGGCCCCTTTAATTTCAGTCCAGCAAACTCAGTCCAGAAGTTCAGTGAGGATCTTTGAATGATCCAATGTTGTCCTAAATGACTGATGATGATAAATAGAATGCTCCTGTGTGTAATCAAGTCTCCGTATAAATGCACCTGCTCTTTGATAGTCTCAGGGTTCTGTTTAAAGCGCAGAGAGAACCATGAAGACAAAGGAACACACCAGGCAGGTCCGAGATACTGTTGTGGAGAAGTTTAAAGCCGGATTTGGATACAAAAAGATTTCCCAAGCTTTAAACATCTCAAGGAGCACTGTGCAAGCAATTATATTGAAATGGAAGGAGTATCAGACCACTGCAAATCTACCAAGACCCGGCCGTCCCTCCAAACTTTCATCTCAAACAAGGAGAAGACTGATCAGAGATGCAGCCAAGAGGCCCATGATCACTCTGGATGAACTGCAGATAACTACAGCTGAGGTGGGAGAGTCTGTCCATAGGACAACAATCAGTCGTGCACTGCACAAATCTGGCCTTTATGGAAGAGTGGCAAGAAGAAAGCCATTTCTCAAAGATATCCATAAAAAGTCTCGTTTAAAGTTTGCCACAAGCCACCTGGGAGACACACCAAACATGTGGAAGAAGGTGCTCTGGTCAGATGAAACCAAAATCGAACTTTTCGGCCACAATGCAAAACGATATGTTTGGCGTAAAAGCAACACAGCTCATCACCCTGAACACACCATCCCCACTGTCAAACATGGTGGTGGCAGCATCATGCTTTGGGCCTTCTTTTCTTCAGCAGGGACAGGGAAGATGGCTAAAATTGATGGGAAGATGGATGGAGCCAAATACGGGACCATTCTGGAAGAAGACCTGTTGGAGTCTGCAAAAGACCTGAGACTGGGACAGAGATTTATCTTCCAACAGGACAATGATCCAAAACATAAAGCCAAATCTACAATGGAATGGTTCACAAATAGACGTATCCAGGTGTTAGAATGGCCAAGTCAAAGTCCAGACCTGAATCCAATCGAGAATCTGTGGAAAGAGCTGAAGACTGCTGTTCACAAACGCTCTCCATCCAACCTCACTGAGCTCCAGCT